TATTTATTTATTTGAGAGAGAGAGAATGAGAGAGAGCAAGCACATGAGAGGGGGGAGGGTCAGAGGGAGAAGCAGACTCCCCGCCGAGCAGGGAGGCCGATGCGGGACTCGATCCAGGGATTCGATCCAGGGACTCCAGGATCATGACCTGAGCCGAAGGCAGTCGCTCAACCAACTGAGCCACCCAGGCGCCCACCCTTCAGGTTTTGACTGAGAGAATACTTGTCCACCCTAGACTGGGGGTACCCGAGATGTATATATATTGCCCTGTAAGTCATGTCTTTGCATATGTCATCCAGTTGCTTCTTCATATGTTTTTATTAATAAGCCCCGAGGGGCCCCGCAGCAGCTGAGCTACTACTGAATTCTCACCTGTGAGAACAGATGAGATGACATCCTGACACAACGTACTTCATTCTTATGTCAAAACAACTTCTAAAAACAACTTTTGAACTCATATCAAACCCACAGTAACAAAACCACACAATTCTAGGCACTGCGCTGGGTGCTAGGGACCCAGAACAAGATAGAGGCGGTCCCCGATTTCCCAGGACATTGATGTGCATGTGTGTGAACAGCCTATTACAATAAGGTGATGTGGGCGCTAGCACAGAATCGGGGAGATCACACGGTCGGTGCTCCTAACTCAGACTGGGGAGGGTCAGGTACGTCTTACAGAAAGGGCATCAGAGGTAAACCCGGAGGAAGGATCCGCAGATCCAGGGGGAAATCTGCACTGGGAGAAAATACGGGAGTCGTCAGCTCGTGGACAGTAAGAGCCCCTGTGGCAGTGAACGAAAGCGTGGGAGCGAAAGTATTGGAGTGAGGAGCGGGCGAGGGACCCAACTGTGAAAGACCCCAAGCCACCCCAGCCCTCCTTCCCCAGGATCTCATCCAGCCTCGCCCTCGCCGGCGCTTTAGCCAATGCCGGAGCTTAGCCCGCTCCCACCCTCCCGGAGCCGCGCGCGGTCACCGCCCCCAGGGCAGGGCGGGACTCGGCTCTGCAGGGGAGGCTCCTCCCGCCGCCCAGAGACTGCGCGGGACGTGCCCGCCCTGCGCGATGACGTCAGCACGCCCGCGCGCGCCGGGGGAGGAGTGGGAGTCGCTGGCCGGGAAGGGCTGAGGCTCCGGTAACCCCGGCAGGGCGGGGGGAGAGGGAGGGGCGGGGCAGGAGCCCCCTGGAGTGCGGGGTCGTGGTGCGGACCTGGAGCGAAAGCCCTAGACACGCTCAGCACCGCTTCCTCTGCCAGCAGGCCCCGCCCGGCCCGGCGATGGAGTTTCCGGACCTCGGGGCTCACTGTTCCGAGCCGAGCTGTCAGCGCTTGGGTGAGGGGCGGAGCGCGCGGGGGGCGGGGCCGGGCCGAGCGCGGCTTGGAGCTGCAGGTGGCGCGAAGGATGGACTCCAAGGCTGGGCTCCCGGGCTGGCAGTGCCAGAGGAGGGCGGGGATCGAAGTTGGGGGCGGTGGCTAAGGGGGCGTGGCTAAGGAGATAGTGGCGTAGGACCGGGTGCAGTTTGTTGCGAACTGGGCGGCGTTTTCCCTTCCCCTGAGTGGAAGGCTTGAGTGAGTGGGAATGACGTCGAGGTCCCGCTGGACCTGCAGTCCGACCCGCTCCCTGCAGATTTTCTGCCGCTCAAGTGCGACGCCTGCTCCGGCATCTTCTGCGCAGACCATGTGGCGTACGCCCAGCATCACTGTGGATCTGCTTACCAGAAGGTGAGGGGGCGGTGTGACGGCGGGAGGGGGCGGGTGGAGGATGCTTGCAGCATCTCCGGAATCCCTCTGCCTCCCATTTCCTCTCGTTGTTTTTCGGAAGCTCAGTGCTGGAAACATTGTTTCCTTGTGCGTTTATAGGGCGCATATCCAGGTTCTTTCAGGGAGGCTGTTTCAGGACCAGAGATTTGGTTGGACTGGGAGCGGGCCACAGACTGACCCCTACTCCTTCTTAACTCTAGGATATCCAGGTACCTGTGTGCCCACTCTGTAATGTGCCTGTGCCTGTGGCCAGAGGGGAGCCCCCTGACCGCGCTGTGGGGGAGCACATCGACCGAGACTGTCGCTCAGATCCAGCACAGCAAAAACGTAAGGTAAGCGTTGGAGGGGTTAGCCGTGACCCAGCTGGGACCATGGATGCTTGCAAACCCGAACAGCTGTTATGATGGGATTGGAGAACGGGGTCAGAGTCTCAGCAGAGACAAACCTTCCCTCTGCATCTCAGATCTTCACCAATAAGTGTGAACGCTCTGGCTGCCGCCAGCGGGAAATGATGAAACTGACCTGTGAGCGCTGTGGCGGAAACTTCTGCATCAAGCACCGTCACCCACTGGACCATGATTGCTCTGGGGAGAGTCACCCAACCAGCCGGCCAGGGTAATTGCAACCAGGTCCAGTACTTGCCTTTGGGATCACCCCATCCTTTTGGAACTGACTCAGCCTCTATCGTTACAAGTTGAGGAGCTGCAAACCTGTTGCCTTTAGCTAGAGGAGTCTATTTTAGCTTCCTATTCAAGTGCGTATTTTTCCAGACTGGAGGAACTCCCCTCCTGACTTCCTGGGTAATGCCTGGGAGGACATGCAAGCTGACTGTTCTTGGAGGCATGCCAAGAGTGTCTCTTCCCTACAGACTTGCCGCCATCTCCAGAGCACAAGGTCTGGGTTCTTCTACAAGCACCGTCCCCAGCCCAAGTCGGACGGTGTCTTCATCTACCTCTCCCAGCAGGTAGGCAGGCCTACCTGTTTCTTCTCTCCCTTTTTTCCCTTCACCTCTCTGACTTCAGCCTCTTGAATGTCTGCCGTAGAGCAACAACCCAGTCTCCATCCAGGTCAGCCCCTCCAGTGATTGCTCTGCAGAATGGCTTGGTGAGTTGGGCGGAGCTTGGGGGGGGAGTGGCAGAAGCAAACCCTCCCCTGCCCCCGCCAGGAGAATAAAGTCCAAGGCAACTGGTTTTCTTTCTCCTCTTTGCAGAGTGAGGATGAGGCTCTGCAAAGAGCCCTGGAACTGTCCCTGGCAGAGACCAAACCCCAGGTCCCAAGGTACCTCCTCTGGTGAAAGAGAGTGGCATGTGGGCAAAGGCTCAGTTTGGAGGGAGGGCGGTGGGACCACTCCAACCCCATGCAGGATAATAATTAAGAACTTGGGCTCAAAATTCAGCTTATTAACTATATGACCTTTGACAAGTTCTTGAACCCATGAGGGTTCTTAATTTTCTCTAAAATGGGACCGTACTACTACCTACCTTGTAGAGTTGTGGAAAGACTGAGAGAATACTCAGAAGCGCTCAGCACAGGGATGCCTAACAGATCAGATGCTCACATTTTAGGTATTACTGTCATCCAACTTGCGCTATTCCTCCCTCCCAGTTCTCAGGAGGAAGAAGACTTAGCTTTAGCACAAGCACTGTCAGCCAGCGAGGCAGAATACCGACGGCAGCAGGTATGAGGACTGGGGAGAGCTCAGGTCCTGCACTGGGAGGAAGGTGGGGAGGGGCTTTCTTCAAGTGGCAGAGAGTTTCGGAATGGTGGTTATCCTTTCGTTTTTGGTGTGACTCCAGCCCATACTGGGCTCTGAAGTGAGGACTGGCCCTCATTTCCTTGACGTCGCACCCTGTCTTCCCTTCCTTCCCCTTTCCTTGCTCCAGGCCCAGAGCCGCAGCTTGAAGCCGTCCAACTGCAGCCTGTGCTAGGGCCCTGGGCTTGGGGAGGGAGGCTCAGCTGAGGAGGACTGTGGCCCCCACACCTCTAGGGTACACAGGGAGAGGAGGCTGGGAGCAGCCAGGAGTGAAGACAAGGAGGCCATCTCCAGGGAGCATCAGGAGGAGCACCTTGTGGAGCCAAGCCTACAGAAGGCCCTGGAAGAGAGCAGCTAGAACTGTCTGGTGGGTGGGCCCTTGGCGAATGCTGGCCAGGCCCCGGACAGCCCCCTGCATCATGTCATCCCCTTTACACTGAGGCCGCCCCCATCTGTAGGGGGCAAGGAGGGGCCTGGAAGGAATAAAGGATCTTGGCAGTCACTAAGACCTCCAAGTGGTGTGTTTTTTTCTCCTTTCCAACCGAAACCAGAGGAGTCCTGTCAAGAATGTGCCCCTCGCCTAAGGGTAGAGGCCCCCTGCAATGCCCCACACCAAGGTCACAAGGATCCTAGCATAGTCCACACTTTTATTTCCCCAAAAAGTGCTTTTCCGGAAGGTTCTTTTCCCCAACTATAGCTAGCACCATACCCCAACACCGGGATGAAACGTGCTGGACAAAGGGACACATCTTACTCCCCTCTGAGTTCTCCTTTGGGAGGGACGTGGCCGCAGCTTTGTCACCGGTCTCAGCCCAGGGGTTTGGTGTCCTCAGAGACTTCTTCCTGTCCCCGCTGCTGCAGCTGCCACATGTCTGCATACATGCTGCCTCGGGACAGCAGAACCTCGTGCCTGGGGCAAGGAGGAGGAGGAAAGTGCAAGTCCCAACCACCCGTTTAACCCCAAGAGTCCTCACCACCAGCCCACAGAGAGGAGAGGGATCAGCCAGGGAGCTCCGAGACACTCGTGGGATTTCACCTTTTCCTCCCCGCCCCCCTTCAGAGGCCCCGCCCTGTTCATCCTGCGCTGTTCCTTACCGTCCTCTCTCTACAATGCAGCCATCCTTAAAGACGAGGATCTGGTCAGCGTTGACCACAGTCGAGAGCCTGAGAAATCAGAGCTGCGTTACGCACCATACACCACAAGTGGGCGCCCGCTGCCCGGGGTCCCGTACCTGTGCGCTACGACGATGGTGGTGCGGTTGGCGCAGACTTTGGCCAGAGAAGCCTGGATGGCCCTCTCGTTAGATGTATCCAGCGCTGATGTTGCCTACAGAGAGGATCTGGGTAAACCTGCCCCTGCCACCCGAGATCCCCGTGGAAGGAGGACACAAGTTGCTAGCTGAGGCCTTGGGAATCAAAAAGAACCTGCTCTGCATTCGAGGACTGTAAGGTGTTTTTATGAAGCAGGGATTCATGCTGTCTATCCACGATGGGCCACTGCCCAGCAGCAAATGGCCTGGGCACACGCAAGGGAGGAAGGAGGGGAGCAGACTGCCCAGGGCCCTCACCTCATCCAGCAGAATGATGTCTGGAGCCTTGAGAATGGCGCGAGCAATGGCCACACGCTGCTTCTCCCCACCACTCAGCTTGAGTCCCCGCTCGCCCACCTGCGTCTCGTATCCTGTGAACATTGCCCGCCTACCTCAAGTCACATGGAATACATTTGGTTTCTGCGCCCAGATGAGCAGGACGGGATGGAACAGAGGGTTGGAGGGAATAGCAGGACTGAATCGGGCAGGGCAGGGCCTCTCTCTGCAGGAAGCTCACCTTCAGGGAAAGTCAGGATGGCCTCATGGATGCCCGCAGCCTGGGCGGCAGCTACCACCTCCTCATCCCCGGCTGTCAGACGGCCATAGCGGATGTTGTTAGCGATGGTGTCATTGAAGAGGACGGTGTCCTGGGGCACGACTCCAATGTGAGACCGGAGGGAGATCTGGGTCACCTGGAGCCAAAAGACCGTATGGCCCAGGCCATGAGACTGCCCCACGCCCACCCTCTGGGAGGTAAGATGGGATCGGGGGTGGGGGGGGGCCACATGGGATGGGGTATAGGAACCCTGTCACCACCATCCCAAGTCCTAGCTGTGTGGGCAATTCGCTCAACCTCCCTGAGTCTGCTTCTCCATCTATAAAGAAAAAAGATGCTTTTTATGCCCATGACTACTTTACTGGGGTAGGTCACATGACACTAGTAAGGCTGAGGTCTCCAGCTGCAGCTTTTTGCAGGGGTGACCTCTTCTCTCCCTGGAGAGTGGCCAGCACTTCATAGAGAGCCATTCTTTCACACACAGGCCCCTAAATCACAATCTCCTCCCCAGCAACCTTACCTGTGAGATGTCCTGCCCATCTATTCGGATGCAGCCAGAGCTGATGTCATAGAAGCGAAACAGCAAGCGCAACACTGTGCTCTTCCCTGCTCCAGATGGGCCCACCTGGTGCATTGGAAACAGAGGGAAAATATTTTCAGGCCTACCGCTTTTAAGGCTTGCTCTCCAAGAAGCCACCAGTGTCCATCGAGGCTGCTACATTCAATCCTGTGGCCTGTCGTGACAGGATTCTGACCCATAGCCTGGGTCACAAACTTCCATGAGCACCGGAGTAGGGAAACTCAAGGAGTCTGGGCCAAGTGCCTGGGTCTTCTCTCACCAGGGCCAGGGTCTGTCCGGGCATGACGGTGAAGGACACATCCTGCAGCGTTTCTCGCCTGCAAGGAAGGGTGGGCGTGGTCAGCAGGCCTGCTGCACTCCCAGGGACTCCTTCCACCAGCAGAGCTACTCCTGGGCCCTGCCCCTCCCCTGGGCCCTGCCCTAGAAGGCTCCCCTTCTAGGCAGTGGTGGGCTGAGAAGCAGGGATGGGGGTGGCGGAGGCCACGTGTAAATGGATGATGGGACAGGAGGCCGGGAGGTGGCAAAAGGGAGACTCACCCACTGGTATAGCTGAAGTGCACATTCTCAAACTCAATCTGGCCCCTCTGGAAGCGCAGGGGCCCTGCTCCAGGGAGGTCCTTCACCTGGGAAAGTGCCACCCATGTGTGCCGCCACTAAGGTCTGCTCTTCCCCAGCCACCAGAACACCACAGAGACTCCCGCTTCCCGCACCCCGCGCTTCACTCACTTCCGGCTTCTCTTTCAGCAGGTCGAACATGTTCTCCATGTCGATGAAGTTTGTCTGGATCATCCTGCAAAAACAGCGCTGGCTGGGGCTCCTCTGAGGAGCTGGGGAAATAACCAGGCACCCCGGACAGGTGAGGGTCGGAGATCAGGTTACCTGTAGTAGGTGCCAAACCAGTTGAGAGGCATGTACAGCTGGATGATGTAGGTGCCAAAGAGCACGAAGTCCCCGACCTGCGGAGATCCCAGGGGGACGATGGAGTCACGGGAGGCCTACGGGCTGGCACCCCGCCCATCTGCTATCACCTTGCCCACTTCCCCCCAGGCACCGGGGGGCCCAGACACGGACCCCGGGCCCCTCTTCCCCGTCCCCAGCACAGTTCCCTCACCTGTAGCTTCTGCTCACTGACAAAGTACGCACAAAGCAGGGAGCCAGCAAGGAGCCCAAGTCCAATCACCAGGTTCTGGGTCTGATTTAGTAAAACCAGTGAAGCCGTTGACTTCCACTCCAAATGCTGGGGCAATGATATGGGGGGGCCGGGGGGTGGAATGTCACACATACACTCTCACCAAATCCAAACCTGAGCCCCCAGGCATCTTCAACCTCACTTTTTCAGCCCAAGTTGTACTCCTCTTGGCCCTGGCGATTCCACGAGGCTAGGCCACTGCTCTCAGCCAGCGTCAAACGAGCATCCTCACCTGATATTTGAGGATGGCCTCTCGATAGCGGTCCACTTCATAACCTTCCGCGTTGTGATACTTCACCTGACGAAGTCAAGCCACCGTATGAGACAAGGCTGCAGCCTGAACACCTGGATCATTTTCTCCAGATTCCCAGTGCCTCCTTCCTCATTTTATCTTTTTTCTTTCTTTCTTTTTTTTTTTTTAAGATTTATCTATTTATTTTTAGAGAGGGAGAGAAAGGTGTGGAGAGGGGCAGAGGGTGAGAGAGTCTTAAGCAGACTCCATGCTGAGCACGGAGCCTGATGTGGGGCTCTATCTAACCACCCTGAGATCACAAACTGAGCCAAAACTAAGAGCTGGACGGTCCAGATGGTTTTTAAAAATCATATCTCCATGTACTGTTTCTTCTGCTCTCTTTATTCCTTTATTGTTATTTCATTGGAGTTTGAGAAGGGAACAAACGTAAAATGTGTGTGCTCAATACCATATTTAATAGAAAGTCTTTTTTCCACCTTCCTAGCCTCTTGTGTACTCAGTCTTCCTCTCTGCCCTACCTGTGAGGTGTCTGTAACGTTTGTGATCCCCTTCCTGTGGCTGAAATACCTTTGGCTTCTTGTCTGCCTGGAGAATTCTCCCTGTCCTTCCCCAACCCTGCTCCTGAGTATTCCTGGCTCCCTTTTCTGTGTTCTATAGCCTATGCACATCTATTAGAGCATGGTTTTCAAACTAGGAGTCATGAATTAGTGGAGCATGAAATCAGTTTAGGGAACCTTAAATAGCATTTATTTTATATTTCTATATATTGGGATGAGGTGTAAAATATATTTCTTGGTGTGGGTCAAGACTGAATAAGTTTGAAAGCCACTGTATTGGGGCACTTTTCACTTTGAATTAGTTGTTTATGTGTCTTTACTACTAGACATTGAACAGCTAGGGGGTAGAGACAATGAGTTAGTTACTCACCTTCTTTATGCCCAGGGTATTATTAAGATCCGACCAATAATGCTGGTCAATATTTAGTGGGTTGAATCAAATATATATGAGATCACTGTGAAACACATAAAGTCACATGAATTTGAACTAGGAGTCTAATTAGCTCGCACAAGAGCTAGGGCACTTGAAGAAGACAAGTGACAGTATTGTCACAAAGATTGTTTGTATATCACATACCCGAGGCAGGGAGGCTGACCTCAGCGAAGGTAGAGCCCTCCTGCTCTATGGATCTCCTGGGATCTGAAACCCATTCCAAAGAGCTTCCCCATCCTGGTTATCTCACTTAGATATTTAAATACCTTGCTATGATAAGGTGTTTGATTATTGAGTTATCATGAAGAGATTTGGGATTTCCCACAAACACTCTGAGAAAACCACCGCTTAAGATTCCTCTTTTCAGTTGTTAAGAAGGTTATAGAGTAGATTTCAGGGAGGCAATGTTGTATCATGAGATATCATGGGACTTAAAGCAATACAAAAATCTGGCTCCAGATCCCATCTCCATAAGCAAATAACTTAGCTCAAACTCAGTTTTCTCATCTGCAAAATGGGAACACGTAATATCTACCTCAAAAGGTTTTCATGCGGGATTAAATAAACTAACACATGGGTCAGAGCAGGACAGGATAGTTAACAAAACAATTTTCCTTTCCCTTTCTGTATGCCCTTGTTCTCTAAGAGTTGATTGAGGTGGAAAACCACTGAACAGACACCATTATGCTAATATTTGAGTTGAATTGGGCCAGAGACATCCTTGCTGACATCCCCACTTTGACCTTGTCTGCTTTAAACCTGCTGACCCCTCGGGCACCTGGGTGGCTCAGTTGGTTAAACGAATGCCTTCGGCTCAGGTCATGATCCCAGGGTCCTGGGATCGAGCCCCGCATCAGGCTCCTTGCTCAGCAGGGAGCCTGCTTCTCCCTCTCCCACTACCCCTGCTTGTGTTCCCTCTCTCACTATGTCTCTCAAAAATAAATAAATAAATAACCTGCTGACCCTGAAATAAGAGGTGTCTGGCCCTGGCCCCACCTGCACAGTTTTGGGGAGCTGATTTCTGCTGTTCCAAGGAGGAGGCCGCTGCTCAGTTACTCGCAGCTGAAGCACAAAGCTGCCTATCAGGTCTGTGAAGGCTTTGCTGGGCTACAATGAGGGACTTACGCAGTGCTCAGATTGTTAACTGATACCTTCTGACACAGCTTGGTCAAGGTAGAAATGTTATTGGATTTCCCTCCTTTATTCCTTTATTCAGGAAGCGAGGAACCTACATCCAAACTGCATTAGGGAGTGGTGACTTTGATCTCTGTTCGTCACCCTTTTTAAGTCTTGGAAAGCTCCTGGGCTGTTGATCCGCACGAATAGCTGAATCTAGACTGTAACCCATGAGTTAGGAGAAGTCTTGCCTGAGAAAAGAGAAGACTCAGAGCTTCACTCTCTCTTGTGGTCTCTGGGGTGTCTGAAGTAAGTCTTGTGGCGGTTAAAACATTTTGGCTCATGCCCACGAAACAGCTCCAAAGATTTTATTTTTAGGGTTCTCTAAGCCTTCGGTTATCTGAGCATCCGTGGAGCGGGAGCGGGGAGAGGCAGTGTTTATCTTTGTTTAGTCTGCTCCAAACAGGGTTCCAAAAACTGAAAGCCTACAATTCTAAAGCCACTGATGAATGTAGAGAGAAAAAAAAATTCTTGAAACCAAATGATTATAGTTTAATATGAAGAGGATGATTTAAAATTTGACAATTGTATGTTAAAATAAAAGTACTTATAAAGCCCTGGAAATTATTTATAATTAAAAATAAGTAAACAGAATATTGATGGACAGATTATAATGTCAGTATATCAGGAGTCTTACCAGAGCTGTGAGGAGGGGTTAGGGAGCTCAGAAATCACTCTTCTGCTACCACCAGAACCAACACCATATGTAGACAATATACCAGCAAAAAGTTCCAAGTGAAGGAATCAAAAGTTCATTTTTATTAATATGAGCTTCCATAACAGGTACATCACAAAGGAAGCTTTGGAGTGCAAGACGAGGAAAACTTTGCTAACAAGGACACTTCCTCTCATATGACAAAAGGTCAGATGTGGTGCTCAGGGTGTTAATTTATCAACGACCCTGGGTCTTTTCCATCTCTCTTCCTTGCCATCTTCAACAGGTTGGCTCGTCCTCTCTGCTTGGCTCCACTCAAGGTCACAAAACGCCTGCCTAAGAGCTGCATGTCACAGGTAATGTTTAGAGCAGAAATAATTGCTCATCTGAATAGATAGTATAGGGGCGCCTGGGTGGCTCAGTTGGTTGAGCGTCTGCCTTTGGCTCAGGTCACGATCCCAGGGTCCTGGGATGGAGTCTCCCATCAGGCTCCTTGCTCAGCAGGGAGTTTGCTTCTCCTTCTGCCTGCCACTCCCCTGCTTGTGCTGTCTCTCTCTGACCCCCCGGAGAAAAGATAGTATGTGTGGGGCGCTTGGGTGGCTCAGTCGGTTAAACGTCTGCCTTCAGTTCAGGTCATGATCCTGGTTCCTGGGATCCAGCCCCGTGTCTGACTCCTCGCTCACAAGTCTGCTTCTCCCTCTGCCGCTCCCCCTGCTTGTGCTCTCTCTCTCTATCTGTCAAATAAATAAAATCTTTTTAAAAAATAGGGACACCTGGGTGGCTCAGTCGCTAAGCGTCTGCCTTCAGCTCAGGTCATGATCCCAGGGTTCTGGGATCAAGCCCCGCATCAGGCTGCTTGCTCAGCGGGAAGCCTGCTTCTCCCTCTCCCACTCCCCCTGCTTGTGTTCCCTTTCTCGCTGTCTCTCTCTCTGTCAAATAAATAAATAAAATC